TAAACAGTCAATTTTCGTAGCAGCCTTTCCAGAGACAGGATAAACATGGAAACTCTAATGATTTTGGAAATTGGGTAAACCCAATCTGGAATCCAGGTTGTTAAAATATGGAACTAATAGAATACAGAATCAACAATTTCAAGGTTGTCTATATTGTTAGCAACTGTGCCTAGCAACAGAGAGGCTAAATAAGTCCTCAGGCGCTGTAAGCGACCAGCCATGGTTGCAGAGAGGTTTTAATTAACTAGATGTTAAGTGCCGCATAGAAAAGGGACGATATATACTCATAAATAATCTATTTTGTATACTATAAGATGGCATCGCATTCAAAACAACGGAAAAGCAGATGTTTATATTTTAGCTGAAGTAGCATGTAACATAGTTACGGTAGCATAAAGCAGCCTGCAGCAGATAAAAATAAAGTTGCCGATTATTTGATTACATAAATTTTGCGAGTTAATAGTGAAATTCTAATATCCATTGAAGCAGGGTCCGTAAGTTGTATTGATGACATTTTATTTATGAAGTGATGAATTAACAATTGAACCAAAACGATCCTTTCAGATGCCTTTTGTTGCGAAATGATATAAAACAGAACGAAAAATGTGCAAGCTTCACAGTATAAAAGATACAAACAAAACTTGAACGTTGCGGCTATAGTCTTCATCAGCACGTACAAATCAGACAATACACAGATAAACAAAATCACTTAGCTGGTATATTTTATTGAGAGACGTGTCGTTGAGAAAGAGAAAGAGAGAGAGAGAGAGAGAGAGAGAGAGAGAGAGAGAGAGAGAGAGAGAGAGAGGGAGAGAGAGAGAGAACGAACGAACGAACGAACGAACGAACGAACGAACTTTATTTTCAAAGGGTTACAAATTAGGCACGCAGGCCTGTCTTATATTCGGCCCTTCCAAACTTCCATCTTTCACACAGCAGTTATATTCATGAAGCATGTTATATTCATGTAATAATATGCATATTATATATATGAAGTCAAAAACAAAAGCATGGCTAGTAAAATATGTACGCACGCTCACGCGCCAACACACACACCCACATACACACACAAGCCCAATGACCCACTTACACACAAACATATAGGCACTAAGTACACACATACATCCACATACATACGAACATGCACACACACATACATACATACATACATACACACACACACCCACCCACCCACACACCCACACACCGACACACCGACACACAGACACACACACACATACACATACACACACATACACACACATACACACACATACACACACATACACACACATACACACACATACACACATATACACACACATACACACACATACACACACACATACACACACATACACACACATACACATACACATATATACACACACATACACACACATACACACACATACACACACATACACACACATACACACACATACACACACATACACACACACATACACACACATATACATACACACATACACACACACATATATACACACACATACACACGTACACACACACACATACACACACACACATACACACATACACATACACACATACATACATACACACATACATACATACATACACACATACATACATACACACATACATACACACATACATACATACACACATACATACATACACACATACATACATACACACATACATACATACATACACACATACATACATACACACATACATACATACATACACACATACATACATACACACATACATACATACACACATACATACATACACACATACACACATACTCACATACATACATACACACATACACACATACATACATACACACATACATACATACACACATACATACATACATACATACATACATACATACATACATACATAGAGAGAGAGAGAGAGAGAGAGAGAGAGAGAGAGAGAGAGAGAGAGAGAGAGAGAGAGAGAGAGAGAGAGAATTCCTGAGAATCATCTTAGTTAGCAGGACAAGTGAAACTTAGAGAACTCATGGTCAATCTGATTTACCTATTAAATCTGGGAGGTTAATAGGCAATACTGCCAAACAAGATGCGACTACGAGAAAGCCAACTGGGGCCTGTACAGACACAGAACAAGTAAATTTGTGTCCCCTGTCAAGACGAAAAATAGGCATTTCAAAGCTAAAGCACAGTATTTCAATACACGTATTCTTCAGCCTGCAAGAGAGAAACATCCCAGAGGTTGTCTTTACAGCCACAGACCTTACTGGTCAAGCAAACACAAGGAATGTCAGGAAACGATGAACCAGGCTAGAAAGGATGCAAAATCCACACCTTCACCTGATAAACAAATAGAAAAAGGCTGTAGTAGTGTTCCAGAGAACTGAACTTGAAGAAAAACGGGAAAGCTGAGGTATAAAACAGCAGCTCTAAATCTTTGAGAAAGATTGCAAGAAACTCTGGAGATTAGCCAAAATACTCAGTAAAGAGTTTCTCTGCTAGACAAATAATCACACTGAGCGAAGGTGACCAAATCTTCAGACGAAAACAAGTTGCAGATTTGCTTGCCAGAACATTTATTGTTGAAAACAGCCTAAAATTTAATGAGGACCACCAGTGAGTAATATTGAAAGAAATGCAAACAAAGAAGAGACTCCTGCTTCTATGGTGCTGATCTTTACCATACACTATCGGTGCTGCAAACCCTCAAGAGTGGTAAATACCCTCACCTGAGATCTGAGCTTGGCAAGATGGCTACCAAACAGCGCACTGTACTCCAGTGGGTGGCATGCCAATGTGTTATACCAGGAAACGAAACTGCAGATAAGCTTGCTAAAAAAGGGGCAGAATGTGAACAAGAAAATAATGCAGTAGCGAACTACGAGAAAAAAAAGGCCATCTAATCTTTCAGAAGTGAACAGAGTCTGGCCAGAGATGACTAACACTTACTTTACTGGCATTGGCAGGTCACAAATCTACGACTCAGGACCCGACATAACAAACCTAACAAGCATTTGAACGGGCTTTGTCTAAGTAGTTCACCATTGTGCCCTTGTAGACTGTGCGTGCACACTACACAGTACATACCCTGCAAGAATGTCTCTCGTACAGCCCAAGAAGAAGGGATTACTGGCTCACTGAGTCAACATTGTACTCAAAGTTGTATTTAGCTAAAAGGGAACTCTCAAAAACAGTCAAGTTTATAAAAAAAACTTGTCTGTCGGTGTAAATTAGAAAGCCAACACAAGAAGAAAAACAAAATACTACATAGCAGAAATCAGACGCAGATAGTTCTCATCCGAATGGTGGTACTTTGTGTCACCGGGTGTTTATCGCTTAGTATGATGTCCTGGTGTGATGAAAAGTCAGTCAGTCAGACAGATGAGACAGTCACATTTAGAGTTAAGTCGACACTCTCAGAATTGTGTGAGAAACAGCTACTAAGTGATGATTTCAGTATTACGACAGAGACAGTCCAGACAACACTCGGGTTAACGTGTTAGGTTATACTGCGCGTTAGAGTTCGTGACAGTGTTCTGGCTCCTAATTTTGTAATATAATGCCCAGTAATTACTATCTGTCCTTAATTCCATACTTTTTCAAAGTACACTAGTTACTGTGTACATATACAAATGACATACCGGCGGCAAGGCTTCCTCAGTGGATTAAATGATAACCAGGGAAGGCTCATATTTCTCACATGGACGACGAGTATGAACACATTTGGTAATGAGAAAACAATTCCACAATTCGTTTCTTTATTTACCATTCTAAGAACAATCTTGTCCACTTATAGTCTTATGTTCGCTAGCATGGTTAGAAATTTAGATCATAAACATTAAAAAAGATATGTCGGATGTTGACAATAGTAAGCACTCGTTACCTTGCGATCCTAATGTATCATTCAGGCCACATACACACACACACACACACACACACACACACACACACAAACACGCACGCACGCATGCACGCACGCACGCACACACACACACACACAGAGAGAAGAGGCGCCAAGCAGGCATCTCCGAGACCTGGCCGCCAAGCTTTACAAGCAGGTTGGGTGTCGACTTGAATGAATCTTGGCTAAGCTGTTATTTAGTAGATTCGGATCTTTCTTACCCATTCTCAGTTACACATTATAGCATTAATGCTTCTTTCAAACACAACCATTTACTCTGGCTGCAAAAGTACAACTGATTAGACCTTGGTCTCGTCCTTTAAATACTCGTTCTATTTTCGTCATGCCTTCGCACCACCACTGTTCTGATAGCTCGTGCTTTCGCAAGTCCTTGCCTTCTCACGTGTTCCGCACTGGTATTCTCTTTGGCTTTATAACGTCATCAGAAAATCCCTGTGGACATTTCCCTCAATACAGATCATTCAATTTCAATAGAAAATGTGGCTATCCTCCGAAATACGGGCACAAATGATGGCGACCAAAAACACACTCTGACAGGGCCTCAGTCACATGTAAATTGCGAACTTCCGGCGACTACCGCCAGCGCCGAGAGTAACTCCTCAGATGAAATGAAGGAAGCTGCAGGAGATGTTGTAGCTGCTGCTCGTGAGTCCCAGTTTAGCTCCGCTCCACGACGGTAGATACTCTCGGCGTTGGCGGTAGTCAGCAATTTAAGTGGCCGAAAGTTTGCATTTCACATGTGACTGAGGCCCTGTTAGGGTGTGTTTTTGGCCGCCATAATCTGTGCCCGTTTTGGAGGATAACCGATAATGCTTACACTTATAGTGATAGATGAAACTGAGGGTTGTGTCTAGGTGTGCTTGTCTTTTACACGCGTAGTTGCAATCAGCAATGGGTCGATGTGATAGTTATATATCATAGTTGTATGTGATAGGTGGATGTGGAAGGTGGGTGGAATTGTTAAATGTGATATTTGGGTGTAATATTTGGATGTGATATTGGTTGTGATAATACTGACCTGTAAAAAAAACACTGCCATGGAGTGTAATTATCAAATAGTTTCCTCCCTTGTACAGGTTCGTCAGCAGCGCTGTTAGCGAGCATCTGTTCGAGTCTACAAGGGGTCATAAAGACGCCCTTGACCTCATCGCTGTCAATATTCAGAGGGGTCGAGACCACGGAATACCGGCCTACTACTATTGGAGGCGTCACTACCGTCTCAGGTATGATGAACAAGTGCTTGGTGGACCAGGTATAGTGAACCACGTATGATGAACCAGGTATGATGAACCAGGTATGATGAACCAGGTATGGTGAACCAGATATGACGAACCAGTATTTACTGGACCAAGTATGATAAACCTGGTATGATAAATCAGGTATGATGAACCAGGTATGATGAACCAGTTCTTGGTGGAACACGTATAATGAAATGGGTATGATGAATCAGTACTTGGTGGACCAGAAATAATAAACCAGTGCTTGGTGGACCAGGTATAATAAATAAGGTATGATGAACAAGGTATGATGAATCAGTATTTGGTGGACCGGGTAGGGTGAACCAGGTATGATGAACACGGTATGATAAACCAGTGATTGGTAGACAAGGTAAAATGAACCAGGTATGATGAACCAGTGCTTGGTGGACAAGATATAATGAACAAGGTACGATGAATCACTGTTTGGTGGACCAGTTAATGAACCAGTATTTTGTTGGACCAGGTATAGTGAACCAGGTATGATGAACCAAGTATGATGAACCAGTGCTTTGTGGACCAGGTCTGATGAACCAGATATGATAAAATAGGCATGTTGAAGCAGTGCTTTGTGGACCAGATATAATAAACCAGTTATGACAAAAAAGTGCTTGGTGGACCAGGTGTGATGAACAAGTGCTTGGTGGACCAGATATAATAAACCAGTTATGACAAACCAGTGCTTGGCGGACCAGATATGATGAACAAGTGCTTGGTGGACCAGGTTTGATGAGCTAGTGTTTGGTGGACCATGTATGATGAGCTAGTGTTTGGTGGACCAGGTATGATGAGCTAGTGTTTGATGGACCAGGTATGGTGAACCAGTATTTGTTAAACCAAATGTGATGAATAAGGTATAATGAACCAATGCTCGGTGTACAAGGTGTGGTGAACCAGTATTTGGTTGACCAGGTATGATGAGCCAGGTAGATGAATGAATATTTGGTGGACCAGCTATTTACAATGAACCAGGTATGATAAACCAGTGCTTGGTGGAAACCGACACTAGACACATCAGCGACATTCAAGAGACGTCAGCAAGACATTAGACATGTCAGTGACACACTAGACGTGTGAAAGACACACTTGATGGGTCAGAGGCACATTAGACCTGTCAGAGATACACTATACATGTCAGAAATTTACACCCTAAGAATCCTATATGTTAACAAACTAGACATCCTAAGAATATGTTACGTCACTAACACATCCAATTTGTCAACACCCCAGACATCCCAGAAATATGTCACGTCATTAATACATCCAATTTGTCAACTCCCTAGACATTCCAGAAATATGTCACGTAATTAATACATCCAATTTGTCAACACCCTAGGCATCCCAGAAATATGTCACGTCATTAATACATCCAATTTGTCAACACCCTACACATCCCAGAAATATGTCACGTCATTAATACATCCAATTTGTCAACACCCTAGACATCCCAGAAATATGTCATGTCATTATTGCATTCAATTTGTC